AAACTCCCTTTGAACAGGAAGAAACCTCCAGCAGAACCAGGCTCAGTGTGAGCGGCCATCTGCTGAGGCTGACAGATGATCATAGTTTACAGCCCATAAAACCTGCAGCTTTTAAAACATTTGGATTTTCATCAAGCAAAATAAAAAATATATACTTTTAAAGAAAGAAAATGGCAAAAAAGGGAGGAAGATAGACAGACATTTTAAACCCCTAATCAGGGTAATTGATAAAGAAGATGAGTTTTACTGAGAGCACTTTCTGGATGTCCTAATAGAAAATTGAGTGGAGGGAAAAACTAGTAGAAAAACGGTGAAAAGTAACTTGCATAACTGCAGGATGTAGATGTGAAGAAAAGCCCACATGAGAGTTTCTGAGACGGTTAAGAAAACGTCAACCATAGCTGGAGTCAAAGCTTCATACAGACGGATCCAGGACATGTGAGACAACTGGCATGTTAATGTGTTTAATGTAAAGACTCCTGAAACAAAGCGGACATTAACCGCTTAAACATCATCTCAGTGGACTGAAATCTGCTGCTCTTTAGACCTTCCACAATGGTTCCTCATAACTATAGAGAAAGTTTTAAGATGTGTTTAAATCTGCGAAGCTTTTCAATGTTAACAGAAGGGCGTTAAAACTAATATTTGTTTGAATCTATTTTTCTTTACATTAAATCTGATACTATATGCTTTTTTTATTGAGATAATGTTCCATAGATGCAATGCGTCTGTAAAGTATTCACAGATCCTTTCCACTTTAGTTATTTTACAGCCTTATTAAAGCGGCTTTTTTTCCAGACATACAAATTAAGTCCAAACATGTTTTTAAACAAGAATTACAGTTTTATTTTCACCAGTGTCTCAAACTGACCTAATTTATGGAAAGTCGACTCGCCACACATTCCCAGGAGCTGCTGTATGTTGTTAGAAATTTAATCATTGCATTTTCATTATTTAAGTAATATTAGGCAAAATGCTGAACATTTACCTTGCTTTCGATGAGCTCCTATAGTTGTTTGCAGTAAAAAAAAACGCATTCGAAGTTTATTCAAAACTTTTGGTTTTTTGTCATCGAGTTTTTCAAGTTATGCTAAATACTGAAAGAATACTTCTGTATAATCCTAGGAGCTTTGATCTCAATGTTTCATAAATCAGTCCTATATTAGGACAGTAAAATATATGATTGATTAATTATTCAATCTTTATTATATTTTTTATAGTTAAAAAATAAATGATTACATGAAATTTTGCATAATGGAAAAAATACCCTGTTCCTGTGGTACTTTTTTCCTCTCAGCTCCAGTAGTGGCTGTTAAACCAACGCAGGCGTCGTCCATGTGGAGCAGCCTCATCTCCTACCTCAGGTCTAATGTGACGGTGAAGCGCCGTCTGGTCCACCTCAGGTCCCACAGCGACTGTTTCCTCGGATCAGAGGCCGTGGATGTTCTGATAGAACATATTACCAAAGCTGAGGGATTTGAGGGTGAGTGAGTTTGTTTCCCTCCAGTTGTTAGACCTGCCACTTCCTCGTTATGCTGCCATGCAGGCGGGGATTTACCATTAGGCAATACTAGGCAG